ACATGTAAATATGTTTTAGAACCATTTCAAAATTCCTCCTTATCTGTTAGCCTACACTGTAAAATACGACTGTAAGTTTAACTAACATTTTGTAAAATTGCAACATAATATTAATGTTAGAGTGAGTTTTTATGTTAATATCACATTAAAATATTGTAATCTGTGTAACAAAAGATTTTGTTGAAATTACTTTAAAAAATATGTTACTATGATCAAATGCACTACTAAAAACAACAAATCACAGTCATAAAAAACATTTAAAACTGTATGGCTCATATCAAAATCATTTAGTTAAGGTGACATTCCAAAAAAATATTATAAAATATACATGTTTTTTTAATTATTTACTTTTTAAACATATCTGCAAATGGCCAAAGGGGAGTCTCGGGCTAGGGATTCGGGAAGCTGGTGCGGATATACTCCCACAATGCAACACAGTTTTCATCATAAGTTAATGCAGTCTGAAGCGTGTTCCTACATTTGTATTCAAAGAGAGTTTAGTCATTTATAGAGCAGGGCTGAGGTGAGGAAAGAATTACAATAGCTTTGAATATTACGAGTAGAATTTACAAAGTCACTCACACAGATGCTCTTTTCAATCCTTTGCATCTTTCTCTTTGGTTTTGACAAGGTCGTAGATTTACTGCAATATATCAGTATTTTTTACAGGACTACTACAACAGCATTTTTTTGTAAACCTTGCAGCACACACTGGATCAATTATTCAAGTTTTCTATCTCACTCACCGTTGAATTACAAACACAAACACATACTTGGATACATGCCGAACATACAGTATGCATCACAACTAAGATGCAGATATGTAAAAAAATAAACATGTTAAATCAACAGGTGCTTTCAAATGAACTGGTTATGTCCTGGTTTATTCCTCTGTTTATTTTCATGTCAAGCTCAAGAAATAAATCTCTCATAAATCTCTCTCTGACTCCGCCTTTATCATGTGAGTAAATAGACCAGTTCATTACATCAGCGGTCTAAGCTGCTGACAAACCAAATGATTCCAAACCAATATTTAACACAATCAAATGCAAATAAATCCTGAATACATTTGAAAGTCCTTTCTATATGCAAATTGTGTGTGTGCTTCAGAGAAAAATGTGGGAATGTAAATGTTTTACAATCAACTGGGCTGGAAATATGGCTCCAAAATTAGCTGTGTTTTTTGTATTCCATGTAGGGATGTTGATTCAGATTCAACTGTATTTTCAGAGAACAATATTTTTGCAATATTGATTTTTTTGACATACACAATCAAATCGATCCAAATTGTCTTAACTAAATAAACTTAAATTAATGTTCCAGTTAGATATTGTGGTGTTTGATTTAAATCTACATTGTAGACACACTCATTATGGAATTATTCGAGTCATAAAATCTCTTCCCAGCATGTTTAAGTCTAAGTAAGGTATAAGAAATAATAATTTGATTTTTGAATTACGTAACTATTTCAATAAACAATTACCTGTGATTAACTTACAGCTCTTTCCAACACATTAAAGGTTTTACCTAATTCAGTGTTGGGTCCAGTGTTGTGCCAGTTCACAGCTTTTTTGAACTAGTTCAAGTTCAGTTCATACATGCTCAAAGTGAACAGTTCACGTTCAAAGTTCACATTTTTAATTCTGAACTAGTTAAAAGTTCAGTTCATTTTACTTTTCTCGTGAGATACTTAAATAAATATTTTTTTTCACAATACGAGCTATAATATATATATATATATATATCTCCTGTACACCCACAGGAGGAGAGCCTTGAGACTACAAAACAGACCAGATTTACATGGTTTTCAATGGGAGCCAAACGGAGTTGCTCCATCTCTGCTCATAAACTACAGACAGTAATGCGCTGCAGTGCTGTGTCTATACTTTATGTCAAATGTAAACGGTGTAAACTTTGCCTCTAACTCACCCTGTGTTTTCATCACGACTCGGGCACATGAGAAAAGCACCAGCTCACAGCGCCGCACCGCAACACAGAGTCGGGGTGCGTTCACAGACGGTGGAAACCGTAGGAATTTTTAGATTTCGGCGGAAAAAGTGCGAGAATACAGGAGGGAGGAACTTTCTCTCGTTGCGTTTCAAAAGAGAAAACAGATTCCAACGTTCATATTGATGTCTGCCGTTCATGACACATTAAATTAACTAATTCACGTTCAAGTTCTTTTTTTAAAAATGTGTTGCGTTCAGTTCAACGTTCAGGAAAAAATGAGCGTGTTCAATGAACGCGTTCTTTTGAACTCGTTCACGCACAACACTGGTTGGGTAGAATACTTTGAAAATGTATTCCATACCAGAATACTGACTACATGACCAAGACATTGATTTTCTATACCATTCTGTTATTTGTTTAGTTATTTTTTATAAAAAAAACAGTTAATTTCAAAATATTTATAAAGACAACCCCAGTAAATGTTTCGATACGAGTGCTTCAACAGCTTCCATTTAACAACCAGAAGAAAAAAAATCTTCACTTTTAGAATGCCCAGTGTTTTCTTACATTACATTTTACTTTTAAAAAATATGAGATTCCTGTGATTTTCAGAAAGTAACATTATTCTAAATACTAGACTTGAAAGTAGTAACTGTAAAGGAATACAGTTACTCAGAAAGAGTATTCTGAATACGTGATAGCACAACATATATTCCGTGACTCCCCAACACCGGACACACATACCTGGGTCTGGCCCTATCTGGGTCCAATATGTGTTTCTGGGGGCCACAAACACACTCTTGCCCTCCAGCCACACATGCCTAGAACCGGCCCTGTCCGGCTCCATTGTGAGAGCGCATGTTAAGCAGCCTGTCCGGTGTGCCGCTCGCTGCCTTGAGGCCAGTGGAACAGCGCAGCTCTGGTGAAGTCATTAAAGTTTAACGTACAACAATCAAGCTCTGGATCCACCGCGGGCTCACAGTTACAGTGCGGGCTCCAGTTTGTCAGCACGGTCCCAAATGTGATAGAGTTACCACCACAGGTCAGCGCCGTCCACTCCAAGATTAATCACAATCAATTTGATACCGCGGTTTTACCACACACACACTCGGTAACTCAAAATTGTCGAAAGGAAGTTGCACTAAGTTGTTCCCGCATCAAAAGGAAAAGCTAAAATCATGGGAGACGAGATGATGCTGTTTCAAACATTGGATGCGGCCAATAGAAAGTTAGTAATATTGTAGATCAGAGGTTTTCCTCCAGGCTTGTACAGAGAGAAGATTTTCACAGGGAAAAAAAAGTCTTTGCAGAACAATATAGTGATAGTAATATAGTATAGCAGAGTTATAGTGGACTAAAGCAGTGTTTTTTTTCTTATATATAGAATTGTCTATTATGAGTAACCACTATTAAGTAACCATGCATATTGAATAAAGCCTAATTGGTCGACTTGTATGTTTTCAAGATAGAATAATGTGACAATATCATGTGTTTTACAGGTCCTACATCCATCTCTGCACTGCTAAATGTCTATTGTGTGCATTTATAGTAGATTTGTATCAATATTTGTTATGTAAACTTCTATATCTAACAATTCAGATTCTGATTCATGTTCTGATCTCATATGAACTTCATTGAGTTGCTAATCAGAAAAGAAAATAGAGGTGCCAATACCGAACATCATAATTACACACTGCACATGTCATACGACTACCCAATATGTATTCACTTAAATTAGACAAATTCTCGACTTATTGCAGCTTTATCTGATAAATATTTAGAATAATTTACCTAATATCAAGACAATCCATCGTAAAAATTACTTTGACAAAACATGATAGTGCTTTACAACTTAAAACTAGTGTATTTTGTCTAGTTTTGAGAAGAGGTAAATTACTGCATAACGCCACATACAAATGCATATATATATTTGTTGTTTTAATAATAAATGATCTATTATTGTGGTCAGTATTTTTATCTTACTAATAGCATAAGGGTTAGCATAATTGAAGCATATATTTGACATTGGCCCGTCGGCCTATCAGCGCGTTAGGACCGCAGCAGCTGCCTCAGTAAGTCTTGTGTAAGCTCATCTCATTAGAATCACCTCCTTTATGACAGTTGTTCAAACTGAGGCTGCGCTTTATGATCGCAGAGCCATAAAGAGCAGCTGCAAGTCTCACCTGTTGGCCACTTATAGACAAGAAGTGTGTCGGGCATTTGGACACAAGGAAAGTATTCTGCATTGAAACATTTTAAATCATGTGTTGGATTTTAACAGCATGGAAACAGAATAAGTTTTTGCTGTATTGTTACTATATAAAAGTCAAACAGTCATAATGATATATAGGCCTGTAATTGATGAAGTTTGTAACAATAAGCTACTTTTTCCACATAACTCTGTCATGTTGGATTTTGTATGGATAAAGTCAATATCATACAACAATATTGTTACATTGAATTGACTTTACTTATTTAATACAACTATAGAGTTATAATATGTACAAGACTGCTTAACTTAAACATTTGAACACATCCTTGGAGTGAACACCACACAATTAAATGAATGATGATAACAAATGATAATTCATATAGCCTCAAAGGTAGTTTGAAGTGAAAGTAGTGAGTGGATTTTAAATGAAAGTGGATCCAATTAAAGCTAGAGAACCTAATTTTGAAAACTTAACACATATCTATATGAGTAGTTCCAGGCTCTATAACAGTTCTATCACTATGGTTTTTACACACATTGTATACCTTTCAGTATGCACAAGATGTTACATGTTTTCCGAATAGATAAAGACATGTTTTGATGTATTTTGTTCACATAACACCATACTCTTTCTGTTTAAAGTAACAAAAGCTTTAAGTCTCCCACTGTATTCACAGTGCCATATTGCCCAGACTACTGAGAGTCAAGTAAGGAATTCAACTGTTCCAAAAAGTTAGAGCATTAATGTTATGAAGACACGCAAGCATTAAGACTACAAACAACTTTTCATTGGAGAAACATAAAGAACCACTGAGTAACTTTTACGCACAGCACTTACCTATAGTGGTGATGACCGTGATGGCGAAGTAAAAAGACCCGGCGAATCTCCACTGGACCCCGGCTTTGTGAGGCTTGAGCTGCAGCACCACTCTCTCCAGTTTATCAAAGTCCTCCGTGGACAAGTTTAAGGCGCTGAGCAGTTCCCGCTTCTTCAAATCCAACTCCCTGCGCTGGGTCTTCTCCGTCTTGGACTCCAGCGCGTCGAAGATCGCGGCGCCCACGAACAGGTAGGTTACGGTGCACACGATGAGGGCGAGGGTCCGCACGTTTTGTCGCTTCATGGCTGGAGGCTGGGGGCCCGGGAGCGCGGCTGGTTCATGATGGGTGCAGAGAGCCGCGGTTCTGACGCTGTGCACGGGCGGACTGGAGGATTTAAAAAGCGCCGGAGCTGTTCATTCAGCACCAGAGCCCGCCCCCAGTCTACCCCCCCCCCCCCCCCCCCGCTCCCCATTGGCCCCCCCTACCCCCCTCTCCATTCCCGTGGGACGCACGTTTTCCACCAACGGGACGGGACGCACGCGCTGTTGGCGTGACAAAAAAAATACTAGTTCAATTCCATTTATTTTTGTATATTCCAAAATCACAACAGCAGTCGTCTCGGAGGACTTTACAAAGTATTCGATTCACCATCAACAGAGAATAACACAGTTCGAACTCATAAATAACAAACACAAGCCCTTGCTCTATAGGGAGCAGGATGACTTAAATGTCTTGTAAACGGAAAACAACGATAAAATATTAGGTAATATGTTCTTGAATCAAGTGTTTTTTTATGTTACTTTGAGTACATTCTGACTGTCTAAAAAAAATCAAGCCATTTAGTCTTATTTCAAGAACCATTGCTTTATTTTCTCATTTAAGGGAGACATTTCTTGCATCATTTTAAACCAAGATAATTTAGCTTGTCCCACTGGCAAAACTTGTTTTAAGGCAGCCAAAATGTGCTCAAATTAAGTGTATTGATGCAAAAGAGTACAGTGTATTGTTGGAAGTGTGTTTTTTTATTCATCTCTGGACGAAGGATCACTTAATCAAGCAAGAATCAATTCAAATTAGCCTCTTACAACAATGTGGTTGGACACAACTGATTGTTAGTCTCTTTTCTCTCAGCGAATTGTGGAAATATAGTCATCAACGTCTTGGAAGTGTGAAGGAGTAACAAAGATGTGTCCCTCTTATTCAGATTCAATTAGAATATTCCTGGACCAGTTTGAACTCCAAAAATTGTCCAACCATTTGCAAAACATTTCACATATCTTCCGCTTGGAGCATTTTTTGCTTCATTCCAGGTCCTAAAATCTTATTCTGAATCTCATTGGCCTCAGCAGTGAAAGACAAAGGACTAAAACACAAAACATAGTCATTGTCAGATTCAATAGACCCGATCCCCAGACCCTGTTGTATTTAACATGGCCAACGTAGGTAGTCTCTGGAGTTTGATCTTTCTTTTTACAGAGACTGTTCCCACTTATAATTGGAGTAAAGGAGTCATAAATGAGACTACAGGCACCAACCACAAGTCACCAGCTGCACAAAAAGTCAAGTTTTTATTGTGACCGACAGAATGAGTCGGAATATCTATCCTGAATTTTTGGTTTTGTTTTAGAGAAAAAAGGTGGGTAAAGTAATGGAGTTTTCAATGTTCAGAAAATTAGACGGACAGCAAAAAATACTGTCCATATTTTTACCTTTTCTAGTAGATTCTAAAATGTTGTATGCAAAGTCTATGTCGTTGAGCCGCAGTTCCTGTATGAAACATGCTCCACAAATACATGTTTTTTCGTATTTTGGGCGTTTCCAATTAATGTTGACGCATATCTACTTGAAAGATGAATGCAGTTCAAAGAGTTGCTTAACTTCCCAGACCTTCTGTCCACATCCTGGTATTTTTCATGTCAGCTTTGTCACTTATAAGCAGGCCATGTAGCATCAATGTATTTTTTTTTCTTCATATTTTGACATAATACAAAAACAACTTTATTTAGCTGTTGAATAGAAACTTCTCAGAGTTCGGGCTTATACATTGCAAAAGTATAGGCATACTCTTATATGCTCAAACCAGTGAAGTCAAGAAGGAGTTGGAGAAGATCCAGATGTTGTTTTGGACTTTGCCTTAAGAGTCCGCCGTTCCCAGAGGGGCTGCTCCGATCCGGCCGACGTCACAAAACACTACTGACTTGTTTTTATAAACTTATAATAGGTTTCAATGTTAGGATAAAAGAGAAACAAGAATGTCGTGTGCAACATTTGTTTGAGAACCAAGTCAAGAACACTGTATAAAACTGTCCCAGCCACTTCAGAAAGGGTTTAGATATTTTGATTGATTCCTGTTATACGTTTTTTTTATAATTTCAGTAAAGGCAAAGCTAGCCTGGCCTTAGGCATCCGTACACTCCGCTCAATCATCATTTCACTGCATGTAACGTCTGGGTCTGGTCCCCGGGTTAGAGATTACAATCGGTTGAATTTCGTCCGACAAATCAGCGAGCGCGGAAGGATAGTGTTGTTGTTAGATGTGGATGAAGTCAAGAGTTTGCGTCGAACTGGAAGGTCGCAGTTTGCCAATTACGTCAAGAAATTGAAGCCGGAGCAATAGGAATGTTTAGCAAATGTAATCGCTAGAAAAAATTGTGGCACTACTCCCCACGGGCTTTGTTAGCGGCAAAGGAGATGGCTAGGCTAAATGCTAAATGCTAACGACTCACTCGGGTGCATTACAAACGTCACGGTAAACTCAGATCCAATCGTTTCAATCTGCAAAAGGAGTTAACCCCTCTTATCTGTAAACGGAGCTCAATGGAGCACCTCCAGACCTTAGTACGAAATGTAATTTGTACTATGGTGTGGTACGACCAGGCTAAGGCAAAGCTAATGTTTTCTCATTATTGAGTCGTTTTTATGGGTTTTCCTTTGGGCTTCCACCTACAGGTCACCAAACACCACAGACAAGTGCATGGAGAGGTTATTATTATTGACCTACAAGTATGGGATTATTTATGTTTATATTTGATGTTTGTTATTATGATTGGCGTACTCTTTCCTCTTTTGTAAGGCTCATGCAATTGCTCTGTGTACAAACTGTGGTATAGAAATAATCATTGCTTTCTTTTCACAGATAAATAAAAGTGGGACATGCAGGTTCAAAAGTGGTTTTTACAAGTGATAATCCTTGCCCTAATTTCAATTTTCCCCATGTGTCCTTAGCGTGAAAGAGTTTGACATCTGCTCACCTCATCACGGACCCATTGATCCAGGCCTGGTCTTAAGTCCTGGTCCAAAAATACCACGCGCTCCGGGACCATGTCAGACCAGCGGAGCGTGATGAGAGCGATAATCCTGTACCGCTTCATCAATACAATCAATGAGTCCGCTCTCCGTGTCCGAGCAAAGCTAAGCAAAGTTAAATGGGCCATTTCCACATGCATTCATTCAAACTGGGCTAAAAATAACCCTGGGTTTATAAATGTGTATTCAATAGTTCAATACTCTTGTGTTCGCATGACAATGATTGAGACCGAAAAGGCAACAGCGATGACCTCTCCGTGTTGTCCAATTTATTCTGGTCTTTCATGTGGACAGTACTTTCACTTTCCTCTCCAAATCAAAAACCAAAAAACTGTTCCCCAGTCATTTATGAAGACTTGAAATACTTTTGACTACTATTTCCATGTAACTGATTTGTACTAATTGCCCAAAAATGTACTTTAGCCAGTTATTTTGTAGATTTAATCTTAAGAAAACAACATTGAAGATCCAAATTAACGCATGGACTGTAAACTATACATTGAAACTTCTAACAGAAAAATAATAGTTAGATAGATAGATAATTGATCCCCGTAGGAGTAATGCAGGTGTGTCCAGTAGTAGCAAAAATAAAATTACAAAAACCCAAGATATTGCCAGTAGTTGTGGAAAGAAAGCTGCAATGGATCCATATTGTGCAATTCATGAATCAATATTAGTCAGTGGTTAAAATACATTGTCCAACCATCAATACATCAACAACATATGGGTCAACTAAAGCAAAAAAATAGTAAATAAACATAAATACATACACCGTTTAAAAAGGGGTTGGAATAAGGTCTGGATTTTGAGCTACAACTCAGACCTAATGAGTATGTATTGTGAACAAATGCACCTTTCACTTCAAACACATTGTCAAAGGCGACGACTACAGCAGGACATATGTGACTAAAAGATCCGCCCACATCAGGACAGGACTGAAACTGTGTCTGTCCCAGTGTGGCTCTGTAGTGGATCACGACACAGTAAACTATGGGGTTAAACCGTCTGTTAGCAGTTAACCTCATAATCCTGATTCTGAGCACGGAGCAGCTGGGCCTGAGGTGCTTTACTCACAGCACACCTGTCACTTTAAATACCCAGGAATGCAACAGTCTGTCATAGCCCATTGTGCTGTATCCACTACTCTACATTTTAATAATCTGTTTTCAGAGGAATGAATTGATAATGCAAAATAATAGTATTCATGTTCCTGGGGCAAGAATTTTGAGGTACTCAGGCTTTGTGGGAAAAATAGTATTATGTGTGCATTGTGTCTCTACTGAATAGGCAAGGCAAGTTTATTTGTAGAGCACAATTCATGCACAAGGCAACTGAAGGTGCTGAACAAAACAAGATAGAGACAGTCAGACTAAAGGCATTTAAATTATAAATAATCACAGTACATTAAAAAGAGTGAAGGTAAAATCCCTCAGTTGTATGTACAGATAAACAGAACTGTTTTTTTCAGTTTGAATCTTTAGCACCACCCCCCAACTCGCTCACAGGCTCCTCATTTCCCCTACGCTCTCCTCCCATTGAACCATCTAGTTTTATTTGCGATCTATATGCAAACATAAGCATTGGCGCAACTTCTTGTAAGCCGTACAACAATCACTGATGAAATGGTACAAGAGCAACGCACTGCTAACAAAATATATAACTGAAAGATTACTGCTATTTCCGCGTCCAAATGTAGTCCGAGCATAGATAGTCCGAGGTGGTCCCGCTCCCGCAGGTCTCTCATATTCACCCGGGCTTGATTTCTTCTTTGATAATTTTTTCGCTTTGGTTCCCTCTTCTCTTCCTCACTGTTGTATTGTTTGGGCTGTTTTGCTGTGTATGCAGTTACAGCGTAAGGAGTTATAGCCACTTTCTGCTAATGTGCTGCTGTGTTTAGCAACACTAAGTCTCTACTCAGCACTTTTTATGGCCTGAATTCATACACAAGCTGAATCCATGAGCTCAAGTTTTCTATTAAATTACAGATTACAGAGAA